CTCGTAGGTGAATTATTGTTACGGGTAGAGTGGCGCCTACCTCCACTCCTTCGGGATTTGACTCGACAAGTCTGACTTGCTTTTTTCGCCCCCTTAAGGGCACTTTGGACCTCTCCTTCTTGATTCTCCACCTCATCTGCTACCTTTCTACGGGTGGTGAAGGCAGCTTTTATGGCCTCCATCACTACTTCTGGCCTGATGGTCCTTCTCTTTTACAACGTGACAACCACGTTTGGCATGGCAGAAGAAAATCGATGATTCTGGGTCGTGGTGATCCTGTTGACGAGCTCTTAGTAGCCACACCTCATTGGTGTCACTCACATTTCCTCGATAGACAGATAGTTGTTAGTGTGGCATGTGAGTAGGCGAAAATGAGAAGGCTTAATCTTACTTTTTCGGCATTTATTTTTGAGAAAAAGAATTTGTAGGCTGTAGAAGTTTAGCCGTGGTCAGTCTGTGTTAATTACTTTAAACTGATTCATTTAAGTGATATAGAACACGCCAGCAGGGATTTTTTTTTGACCATTACGGGAAATTTACAATCACACCGCTGCCTTCCTCCACATTCCTCCTCCCACCAAAAAACTGATGACTAATGTTAAGGTTAAAAATTTATAAGTAGGTGGGTTAGAATTAAAAAACGGTGTATAGAGTTCTGCTAAGATGAGTAAAAAAGGGTGTTAAATCATTCGGACACTTCAGTTGCCGTAGTTTGTGCTTCTGTTGAGCTGTGCGCCTGGCCTTGGGGGCATGCTAGCAGTCCTCTTGCTCTTCTTTATGTCATTATACAATACAGTATTGATTCAATTCCCCCGAGTCTTCTGATTGGATACCGATTTGATCACCATTGAGTTGCAATATTTGGTGGCTTAAATGATTTTAGTAGTACATCTCATGGAGGGCAAATCAAGGAAATATGAGTTAAATTTTGTTAATTCTTTTAACTAAATGAGTTGGTAGCATTTGAAAATAATGATTACTAGTTAGAAGGAAAAAATCCATTTTGTATTTGAAAGTAAAGTGTGTATGTGTCTGTGTGCGCCAATCCGAATGGATAAGATAGCGACTGCAGGGTGACCATTTTGTCTCCGCTTCGTTGGAAAAACCATTTTATTACACCTGTAGCAACAACAATCGTCGAGAGAGAGAGAGCGCCAGGAATGGAGAGATGAGATCACACCAAGCGAGTAATTTGTTGGACAAATCAGGTGTTATTACTGAAGGTAATAGTTAAGGGGAGAGCGACTGCCCATTAAGATAACGCGTCTGATAAGACGTGCCCGCCCTCCTCTCCTCGCTTCGGGTGTTGATCCCTCACCGGAATGAGTTAGACGCATTGATTGCTCCAGCCCAACTATCCCACCCTCTGATGCCGAGGCAAGGAGGGGGACGGGATTGTAACCCTTAAAGTACATGCAGTGGTGGGATGGGGTAAGGCGGGGGGAAACATTTGTGCCCCTTCATTAGACAGACATTCGCGTTAGTTACTTGGGTTAACGATGAAGCACCGATATGCTTTTATGCCTTGCCTTCCCGCTTAGCTCAGCCCCTTCGATGATATCAGGGCATTCCTCCCCCATTCCCGTATGCTCTTTGGGGAATTAAGCTACCTCGAACTGTGCCTTCAATAGAAGTGGTCAGTCTGGTCACAATAGGTGGCTAAAGAGCTGATGATTCCTATGGTAAAAATGACTTAGAAACCACTCCAAAGAGGACGACAAGAAAAAAATATTTCCATAGGAAGATTAAAAATTGCCTTAAAGAGTTGTTCCACTGTTGCGCTAACTTGATTGGTGCCCTGACGAGGAGAATGTGACGATCCTGGAATCTAAAGAAGAGCCACCGCAGAAGCTGATGAAGTTTTGGAGTGGTCTAGCCACTCTTTTGAAGCCTATGTCAAAATTAGTCGAATCTTTAGCTCTCAACTCCACATCCTATCACACCTACCCTCACGGTCAAATCCTGACCTCTGAAATTCAAATGACCTTGACAGAATATCCTTCCCCTAGGCATTGCAATCTATCTACGGAATAAACATTGTTTGTCCTCTTGACTTTGTCTGGCAGATCCATCTACCAGCCTTCCACCTGCCTCAAACCTTGTCTGGTGGGTACAGAGATAAAGACAGAGGAGACCCCCCGAACTTCTCCCACAGTGGCAGAAAAAATCAAGGAGTATTTCCTCCTGTGAACGTGTACTGCCTTATAAATAACTAGAGTTGGAAAGAGCAGAATTGAGGGCGGATTGAGAGCAGAAAGTTGCCTGGCAGAAACAAATTTCAGGAGCTTTAAAAATCCTCCCAGAGGGGGAGAGCACTTATAGCTGAATGAGGGGATAAAGCAACTTCAAAAGACGCCAAGTTTTATTCCCTTTTGCGAAGTCAAAGATGTGTAGGCTAGATAAGGGCGGGACAATTGGTCCATTTAGATTTTAGGCCAAATTTTCTGCCTCATTTGAAAATTGATGGGCAGGGGGAAGGGAGGCGGAGTGGGTGGGTAAAAAAGGGATAAAAAAACGCATCCTAGATCATCGTGGGACCAGATCATGGAGAAAATGTCGTTTCGCTGGTGCGTTTCTCTTTTTTTCAAAGTTGTTTAATTTGTTAGATAGAATTGGAGTAGTAATTGTTT